AAAAAAAAAAAAAAAAAAAAAAAAAAAATCACGGATTTTAAAGTTGGTGATATATGGTATACAAAGTATGATATTAAATTAATCATTCAGAATCATTTCCATTCAAATTTTCTTTCTTTATCCAAGTAAGTAGCTCAGCTAATTGAGTTCCTGGATTTATAATTAAATTTTTATGTTAAAGAATTTTTGTACTTACTATACATTCTGTGATATAGTCCTGTTATAAATTTTAACTTTTTATATAAATTATACATCTATATTTTAGCTTTGCTTTAGACAAAGTGTTTTGAAAAGTGTTTGGAATTCATACTATTTAAGACGCTATAATTCAGATTTATGTTTAGAGCAGTCTATCTCAATTATACCAGTTTGGTGAGGTTTTATCATATATTTTCTAATCAATGAATCAATCAAAGAATCTTTGAGAGGATTTTATGCAGACATAATTCTGCCCTCAAAGAAGACGAAGCCAAAAGTGTAAAGAGAAGACATTATAAAGGTGTGAATTAATAAAAATGTGAATGTCGTTTAATTTTTTAAATTTGCTGCAATTTCTCTTTTTATTTTAGATAAACACTGCAACATCCTTTTCTTTACAAGAGCTTTCTGCTTAATCTCCAAGTTATAAAAGCTTCAGGTACCATACAGCCTAGATTCATTCCTGCCTATGGCCAGATGTTTCACTCACCATCCCTTGCCAAAACTTCCTAGGGCTCAGTTCTGGAAACAACCAGGCAGGCTGACATCAGGTTGAGTTGTTCAACCCTTCACCCAGTGGAAAAGAAATAACTCTATGCCATCAGCCTCCCCACACCCCCCTCAGGTATCATATGTTTCACATGTGGACTCTGTGAGATATGGTCAAATCTAGTACCGTTCGCTAAAGTCATTATTCCGTTCACTATTACCTCAATGTTCGAAGCTGACACGTTTATGGGGATAAAATGGAGCTATTTCAGCACAGCTTGCCATAACTGTCCATTCTTTTCTATTAGCAAAGCATACACTTACTTACCTGTGAAGAGAATTTTGCCAAGGCTTGATGTCTAGAGTGTTCATCAATAGTTAGGCTCTGTAATTTATTTAGAAAAGAAAATTATATAATAAATTACAACTCTAAAATCCTGACCCAAGCAGTACATAGTATCTAGGAAAGTAACAGCAATTTTGTTTGTAATTTTTGGGCACACCTTCACAATGCCTTTCCTCCCCTTCACTGTTTGGACTGCTTACTCTTGACATATGAATAGTTCTTTAATGTCTTTCTAGATAGAGAATCTAAAGATAGCCTGCCTCCAGTATGATTCTTTAAAATTTACTTTGATTATGACATACATTTTTAGAATTTCTGTCAACTTTAGAGAAACTACCACACATTCTTTCATATATGACATATGAACTTTGGACAGACTTTCCACAATATTAACTTTTGTGCATGTACTCCATGTCTTGTTTTTCCTCCATTTCCATGTAGTCCTGTGCTAGATGCCCTAAACCACATGTTTTAGAGGATACGATGGAGTCAAAAGTTCAGGTACTGATTACAGTTAAAATATTTTGCATTAATTCTACAGAAACTTATGACCACATGGACCCATTCCTAGGGCCCCTCCCAGAGTATCAGAAGGGGTCTGTGCAACTGAGGACCCTAAAACTTCATTTTACCCTCTTTATTATAAAACCTATACCTAATAACTGAATTAAAATACAGAAAACTCACAACTGCAAATGTGAAGAGGACCAAGAAATAAAGAGTAGG